ATATATATATATATATATATATATATATATATATATATATATTGTGATAACACACACACACACACACACACACACACACACACACACACACACACACACACACACACACACACACACACACACACACACACACACACAGATATATATATATATATATATATATATATATATATATATATATATATATATATATATATAAATTGTGACAACACAGGAAAATACAGAGTACTTGGAAGAAGTTTTTATTGTTTTGTGTAATTGTTTTTTATTGTTTTGTGTAATCTGTTTTTTTTTAAGAACTTTTGTGTAATCTGTTTTTTTTAAGAAGTTTTTATTGTTTTGTGTAATTGTTTTTTATTGTTTTGTGTAATCTGTTTTTATTGTTTTGTGTAATTTTGTTGTAATCCAAGACACTTGTTTTTATTTACATATTTCAAAGATATTTCTAGGAATTCACAAAGATAAGTTTCCTTCTTTTGTCAAAAGAATTTCGAAATGAAATAATTTTTACTAGTTGCAAATAATAAAACAAGTAAATAAAAACAATTTATATAGAATTGTTAATGACAGTAAAAGTTTTACTAGCAAAAAAATGAAATTGTTTTGTAAATTTATATCAAGTTTATTTATTTTAGGTTGGAGGTTAAGGAAAAACTATTTTGCTGTAAAATCTAAAGATAGCGCTATTAAAAAAAAGTTTCTTTTATCTTGGGTAAGATTTCAATAATGTGGAAATACAGTCATTACAAAAATGGTCAAACATAAGTTGATATGAATCTAAAAACATGAGTTAATATAAATCTAAAAAAAATTTTGAATTAAAATGTTTAGGTTGAACATGGACCTGATATGAATCTTGATTATGAAACTACTTTGTTGGCGCTATTGCAGCTTCTAACGTCCTTACAGGTTTCTTTAGGTTTATATATATATATATATATATATATATATATATATATATATATATATATATATATATATATATATATATATATATATATATATATATATATATATAATATTATTAATAATTTCTGGAATTTGCTTTTAAATTTTTTAATTCAGCATCCATATATCTACCCTGTAAATTATGCATCATGCACAGATAAAGGATCAACAGTGGTAAGAAGTTTGCATCCAACAGGTTCACTCCGGGATCTTATCTTCAAGGTAGTTAATTTAAGTGTAAAACTAATTTGTCAAGTTCAAAACTGTTTTCTTGAACAGTAATAAAACAGAAGCATTAAAAAATTGATAAATGATTCAGTATGATAATGTAGTAGGTTAGTTATAGTATGATAATGATACATTAATATATTGATAAATTATGGTATTGTTAAAAAAGCTTTGAACAAAGTAAAAAAATTTAAATTTTACTAATATTTCAGCACATACTTTATAAAAGCCAACATATTATATATCAATTAATTGATTTATATTTATTATAATTTTTATGTTTATTATAATTTTTATGTTTATTATAATTTTTGAACAATTATTGATTACTTAACATATTTTAATTGATTACTTATTTAATTAATATTAAATTTAATTAATAATTTAATTATTTAATCATATTTTAATTGATTAAAAAAAAAAATTTTTTTGAATAAAAGTTCACAAATTTGCAGACTAAGCATTTATATTTAAAAAAGTAGAAATTATTCAATGATATTTGATCAAAGTTTGAAACTAAAAAAACTATTTTATCAGATTATCTTTATAATCAATAACGACTTTGCATTTACGAGGCCTAAAGTCAACCATTTTAACGCAAACACTAATGAGAATTAAGTGCATTATTTCTTGAATTTTTTCGAATAAGTTAGCATTATTTGTCAACTTGATGCCTAATACATGGTCCAATAAATAATCAATGGCATCTAATCTTAACTGAGCCAGTTGATTGATCACTTCAAAACACCAACTTTACTCTTTTTGAAAAATTTTTGGACAAATTTACTTGTGTGTTTGGGATAGTTGTCCTGATGGTATATCCAACTACAAGGCATTTTATCTTTTGCTTGAGGCAGCACAATGCTTTTACATATGACTTTGTATATTTCTGGATCAATAGTTTGAGTAAGTTGTACTAAATTTCCAACTTAAAAGCATAATACAACTTGAAAATATAAATTCAAATCTATACTTTTTTCACTCTGTGGTATATTAGCTTTTTTTGTCACTATTTTTGGAAGTTATTTTTATGTTATTTTGTTAGTTTCTAACAATCATCATTGTGGTTGTTGGTCTTATATATTTATTTTAATGTTTGCTTTATACATCCATGTGTGTATATATATATATATATATATATATATATATATATATATATATATATATATTGATAAATGTTGTATACTGCTGGAAATACAACTCTTGTCTGTTTAAGAGTGATCAATATCTTTTTTTTTAAAAAAAAAAAATAGATCAAATTATATTAAAATAATTTAAATGAAAAAAATACAACTTTAAGTTGGAACTAAAAGTTTCATGCCATTCGGCAATCATCAGGCATATTATTCCCTAATAATAATGTAATAATAATAATAAAAAGGAATAATATGGCTGATGATTGCCGAATGGCATGAAACTTTTAGTTCCATCATAAAATTGTATTTTTTTCATTTAAATTATTTTAATATATATATATATATATATATATACATATATATATATATATATACAAACATACATATGTGTGTTAATATAAAATATATTTATATTTATATGTATTTTATTTTCATGTGTATTTTTTTTTTAATTTTTTTTTGTTATTTGTTACTAGTGCTGAATGAGATTTCATTCCTTATATATAAAAATATATATTTTTATTTTTGGTTTTTTTACAAATTTTTTTAAGCTGTTAGTAGTGAATATACAGCTATTGGGTGTAGTGTAGAGCATGCGGGGTGTAGTGTAGAGCATGCGGGGGAAGAATAGGGTAATGCTAGTCATCGAAACACAAAATAATTTTTATCATTGCTCTTTTGAGAGTTAAATCAAACTGTGTTAACTTCTTCAAAAAATAACAGTGGAACAGTTATACTCATGTTGAAAAGGTCACCTTTGTTAAGTTTTTTGATCTAAGTATCATTATATTATTATCTTTTACTTCTTTGTTTTTTTCTTGTTTTTCATTTTTCTTTGCTTGAGTTACTAATCCTCATAAGCAGAATTTCTTCTATTTGATATTTTTTCCGGGCTTTCATTGCTCAACTAGTTTAAACAATTCAGAGAACCTGCATAACAATATTAATAATAAATATCTGTTCTATAAAATAAAAATATCTTATAATAATAAAAAGCATTAAAAAAGCATTTTTTTAAACATAAGTGTTAAACAATAGTTTTATCCAAAAGCCATATTTTTATTATCAAGTGTGACATTTGAAAGCAGTTACAAATTTTTCAAATATATACAACTCCTGTTGCCTGCTGCCTCTTCAATATATAATTTTTTGCTCAGTTATACAAGTATAAAATTAGATACCCACTAATTTTATAGCCGTACTTAAGTTATGAAAATGCACTTTTTTTTTTAACTAAACTGTTTTAGACAAAACCCTACTTTTTTTGTTTTAGACAAAACCCTACTTTTTTTTGTTTTGAACATGGACTACTATAATGACAGGCCAAATAAACATACGGCTAAAAAAAACTGTAAGTGGATTTTTTAGTTTGTAAATTTCAAATTAATAATTTGTAATATGGTGCATTCCAGAAAAAGAATGTGGTTTTAATTTAATGTTAAGTTAAGTCATATTCTGATTCCACTTGCACCACCAAGACCAACTACTAAATCATTGCCTTTTTTAAGAAGTTCTATGCCTGATGAAATGGATGCTTTTGTGAAAGTGGATAATATTTCTTCTTTCGAAGATTTGTGTAATAAATTAACGTGTGAAAACTGTTTACATTTTCAATCTAATACATCAAGTATTAACAACTTGGGTGTTCCAAAGTTAGAATATTATAGTATTGAACAGATGTTAAATATGAACTCTTCTTTGTTTATTGGTGAAAAAAAGTATTCTCCTGATATGATTGGTTTGTATGATTAGTATGACATTTGAGTTCATTGTCAAAAACTCTTTACTCTCGATTATGTGATGACTACAAACTACCAATTTTTTTTCACTCCCAACAAGGCTGCAAGCAACCACTATTAAGTTTGTAATTACTAGAAAAAAAGAATAGAGTCATGGAGCAAAGAAAGTGTTGACAAAAAACTTGAAAAGTTGAAGGTTGTATGAGTCAGGAAAACATGATGATGGTAGAGAGTTCCAAAGAGTTAAATTGCAGAGAAAAAAAACTAGACAAATAAAGGTTTATATAGTATGCAGGGACAGATACAGCAAACAAGTGAGAATTTGCTGAATGACAAATGAGAATGAATTTTAGTTAATGGAACTAATTTTAATCCTCGAGAAGATCAAAAACTATATTGATTGTCTGATTTATTTGACTCAAGATGGGATGTGAGAAATTTGTTCATCAAAGGCTCAAAGAACTTGCTAATAAGAGAAAGAAGACTGGTTAGATGATGATTGGAGGGGTCAAGATCGTTTACCTGAGTTTTTGAAAATTGGAATGGAAGGAAGAGTATGGCTAAAAATTCAAGAGTCGAATTAGAAGTAACAATCTTTGCAAATAGTTCAGCCTTTTCTTTGAGAGAGGTAATAAGATCAGTCCTATGAATGAGAGATGGAATGCGCTAGAGTCTAACTTTTGAAAACAGAATAATGGAACTTAGCATCAGACAGCACCTTTTTACATCAATTTCTTGCAATAATAAATAGCTGTTTGTTCTCTAAAGAGTTGTCCTTCTTAAAAAAAAAATGAAAAAATGGTTATAATTAGGTATAGCAGTTGCACAAAAAAATGAGAACCACAGGGTAGAATGAGGTATGGTTTAAAACCAACAATTAAGTTTAAAGAGAAATTGACTTCTTCATAAATAAAGCACAGCCTCCTAAGGAATGAGCTATGCAATTGTCTCAGTTCTGTTAATTAACCCTAATCATAACATTTCTGCTAACTTGAATAGCAATAACCAGTTTGCATTTATTATACAGTTTTGCAATTTTGAGGTTGAATTCATTCATTTGTCACAAAAATCTTTACTTTTGATTTATAAGTCATTATTTATTAAAAACAAAAAAAATAAAACATGTTTCTGTAAAAAATACTCACCTACAAATTTTTTAAAAGTTGTATGTTATAGAAGGCCATGGTTTTAGACAAAGCCTACTCTACCTTTTTTGTTTTAGACAAAGCCTATGCTACTTTTTTTTTTAGACAAAACCTACTCTACCTTTTTTGTTTTAGACAAAACCTACTCAACCTTTTTTGTTTTAGACAAAACCTACTCTACCTTTTTTGTTTTAGACAAAACCTACTCTACCTTTTTTGTTTTAGACAAAACCTACTCAACCTTTTTTGTTTTAGACAAAACCTACTCTACCTTTTTTGTTTTAGACAAAACCTACTCTACCTTTTTTGTTTTAGACAAAACCTACTCTACCTTTTTTGTTTTAGTCAAAACCTACTCAACCCTTTGTAAAAAAATATGGAATCTTGAAACCTAGAGCAGGTTTGGAAATAGCTGATATACAAAGAATTGGTCGCCACATTTTAGAAGCTTTGAAGTTATTTAGAGATGTTGGTTGGCCTTTTGGTATGTTTTACATCTACAAATTATATTTTGCAAAATATTTAAATATTGATTAAGCATTATTAAAGTTCATTCTTGAAATCAAGTTATAATCTTTGAACATAAATATTAGTATTGATAATGTCAAATGTTGTTATTACAAATAAATATTAAGTTATTCAAATTTAAAAACAATTGTTTTGATTGTAGTAGTGCTTCTATTAAAGTTTCTATTAAAAGTAAATTGCAGTCCATTTAAAATAGATTGTTGTCTACTAAAGAAGGAATTTTTTTTGTTTCAGTTTCAGTCAAGCTAGTTGTTGTCATTCATGATAAATTGTTATTGTTTATAATAAATATAATAATAAGTTATAAATATAAGTTAAATAAATAAGTTGTTTTTTCCACTAATAAATAAATTGAGTCTGCATTGTCTAAATTGAAGAAGTTTAGAAGAAGAAGTTTAGTAAAACAGTTTTCATTAAAAGTTTAATATTCTCTTTATAAAGTTGAGTGTGTTCTACTAAAAGTGTACCATGTCATATTTCTACTTGCCTGATAATAAACAATAGTTTATCATCAGGCAAGTAGAGTTAAATATAAAAATTATACCTTTTACATGGTTATTTTTATGCTAAAAGTTATGCTTAAGTTAGACTATATTTTTAGATAGATAAAATGCTTTAGGATGGGAAGAAACTTGTTAAGAATCTACCGTTATTTTTATAATCACCTGTATTAGTTAAAGCTAACTTGTGGTATTTTGTAGGGCAGAGGCTCATCTTTATGCATTTTTAGCTTGTGTCCCACCATATCCCAGGTTTTAGCTTGTGTCCCACCATATCCCAGGTTATTTTCAAGTTATTTCTCCATAAGATTTGTCTATTAATATTTATAACATGTTAAATTGATAAACATTTTACACAACAGGACATTTACATGCTGGCAATGTCATTGTGGATGGGCAGCAAACATGGTGAGTTTATTATAGTATTATTTTTCATCTGGTTATCAGAAGATATTATTTAATTGTTTATTTAATTGTTTTCTTAATTGTGTACTTATGCTAAATTAAATATTTTAATGGGAAAGCGGAATAGTATAAAAAAAAAATGCCAAAAAAACGGATTATTATTGAATTTTTTTTGATGGAAACATTTTTTTTGAGGTTAATATCAAAAATTAATTTTATGGAATAATTTCGAAAAAAAAAAAAAAATCAAAATTCATTTAAAAGGAATAATGTTGAAAATGCCCTTACAGAATTTATAATATATATTATAATTTACAGAATACATACATACAGAATAATATACAGAATACATACATACAGAATAATTTACAGAATACATACATACAGAATAATATCGAAATTTTGATTTAGGAATAGTAAGTATGTTACTATATCAAATGACAAATAAATTGAACATGCAAGGAATGTTGCTACATCAACTGACAAATAGGTAGAACATACAAGAAATGTTGCTACATCGACTGAGAGTTTGGTTTGAGCAGACAATTATCTATAACAGACTATCAATTAAAAAAATTAAATCATGATTGTTTCAATGTTCATGATATTATTTTCATGAACATCAAAATAATTAAAAGTTACTTAATTTTTAATTATTTCAATGTTAATCATTCTAGTTTTTAATTCTAATTCTAATTTTTTATTTTATTATGCTTTTAGGATTTTCTATTATTCTCTATTTCAATAATAATTCAGAAAGTCCTTTTTTAAATTAGTTCAGTTTGGCTGTTTTTCATACTGTTACTACTACCCATTTCAATTGTTCTATTTACTCTTTGATTTTGATATTTATTTTAGGTTGTTTGATATTGAAAATGGAATCTTAGGTTTGCCATCAGCATATCGTTCTTACATGATGGAATTGAAATGTGTTAAGGTTTCTAGTTTTTTTCAAGATGTAGCATTCAATAACTTTAATTTTAATTAATTTATTATTAATAATATTTATTATTAGTATTATAAATAATTATTTATTTATAAATTAATTGTTTATTTATAAATTATTTATTTGTTTATAAATTATATATTTATAAATATTTATTTATAAATTATTTATATATTGATGATAATATTAATACTTATAACATCTTTATCATGATGATTAAAATAATAATAATAGATTTGCTACATATTTTCTCAGTTAAAATGCTTTAGATATTTTTACATAAATTGTTAAAGAATTTATTTTTTTTTTCAACTTAATATGATAGTTTTCTACTTAGCTGGTTAAAATTATATCAACACCAAAATCAAAAAATTGAATAAAATTAATTTTAATTTTATTAAGTTTAAGATAAATTAATAAAAACATTTTTTTTTTTAAACTTTTTTACTTCATAATTATCATTTTAAAGTTTTTTTATTCTATAATTATCATTTTGAAGATTTTTTATTTCATAATTATCATTTTGAAGAGTTGTAGATATGCTACTCTTTTTGCTATCACCACAAGTTAAAATCTTTTAAAAGTGGAGTCTTCACACCCTAGAGTAAAAGAAAAGATTTTAATTAAAAAAATATATATATGCAACTATAAAATTAATAATAATTTTTTTTTTTTGCATACTTTTTTTTTAAATAGCCAGTCATATATTAAAAACTGTTCTTTAAAGTCTCAGGTCAGGCTTTTTTAGGGTTTTGATGTAAACATATAGGTCTATTTTTAGAAGTATATGTAACTGTAATATCTGTATATTATTTCTTACTTTAAAAAAATAAAAACTACAGATAAACAGTAAAGTCAGTTTTCAAAAATAATTAGCTATATTGTTGTCATTATTATATTGTTGTCATTGTAATATTGTTGTCATATTTGCAGTATCTAATTGCAGTATCTTCATGGCATTCTAAAACAAGAGAAAAGGTATGCACAATATGCTACTAAAAATACCTTAGTAACTAGTAATATTTAGTTAAGAACTCTTTTAGTTCACTTTTATTATTTATTTATTCTTTAATCTTAAGAATAATTGAGCAACGAACATTTAGAGATGGAAATATTATAATTATTTTAAATTAATCCAGATTTTTTGTAGTTTGTTGTTAGCTAAACAACAGTAACTTACTACATTTGACAATGTTCTTTTTTAGTTTAAATTAACTATATCGAATTAAATTTAATAAATTTAAATTAACTAAATTTATATTAAATTGATAAAACTATATTAATATTAATATTATTAGAATATTCGAACTAAATATATTTAATTAACTAAATCCAATTCATTATCTATACCTATACTAAATTGATTAAACTAGCTAAATCAAATAAAGATAGATGTTAATAAAATATTTTCTTTTTAGGCATAAAATTAAAGTCATAGAAGTGCAATTCTATTTTGATATAACAATTAAATGCTAATTTTGCCAATACAAAACAAGTCTATGCCAAATCTAGCAAATTTATAAAGCGTAATAATCCTATACTAAAAAGGTAACAAATCTATGCCAAAATGTAGCAAATTTATCACTTTTAATCTATCACATCATCATCATCATCATCATCATCATCATCATCATCATCATCATCATCATCATCATCATCATCATCATCATCATCATTATCATCTTAGGCAGCATCATCAACATAATTATCTTTATATTTAATTGTCTTGTTTTGATTGGTTGTGCTGGCAACCATGCTCTCTTTAGTCAGTTTACACAAACAGTTTATATCTCTTGCTAAAGTAAGAGGTTTTTTAAATTCTTTTAAATTTTTTGAAAAATATCTAAATTCTTTTTATTTTTATTTAAAATATATCTCTGGTTTTTTGTGTAGATGTTTCGAGAGAGATTCGATGTAGATGTAGATGTTTCGAGAAAGAGATTTTAAGAGATACTTTATTGTGCAGAATGAGTATGAATGACAAAATAAATTTAATGAACATTTTTTACTATAAATGATAATAGCTTTTATTATTGGCATAAATTACTGTATCCTGCTAATTTATGCATTTTAGTAATTTTTTTTAATAGCCAATGTTCGACTAAAACAAATTCCTGTTAAGTCAAACTTGGACTAATTCTTTATTCAATGCTTAAGTATAAACATTAAATGTACACCATTATTCTAATAAAAGCGTGAAAAATATTCAAGTGAAAGAAGCTTATATATAATATAATAACAATAAATTAACACATATTTACATAAAATACAGTAGAGTACCAATTTTCAATTTATTTATGTGATATTTCAGTCTAATAAAAGTTAGGTATAGTTCACACAAATAATAACTTTGAAAAAAGTTGTGACACAATGACTTTCCTGTTATATGGCAACATAATTGTGTCTAAAAGCTAGCAATATATTAATAAAAAATTTATTAAAATATTAGCTTTTTTAACAGGATTTTATTTTATTTTGCATCTGTGTTTATTATAGCATTATTTAAATGTCTGATAACAGTCTATTCAGATCTGAATACAACAAAAAAATGGTTTTTAGTAAAAAATAAAAACTTATTGAACAGCTGGATAATGTTGTTAAGTTAGAGAAAGATTTAAATTAATTATAAATTATAAATTTAGAAGATTTAGAAGTCATTTGAGTCAATTTAAGTCATTTTATATTTTGAAAAAAAGTTTTCTTTTATAACAGTAATGTAGTTTGAAATTTTTTGCATATTTAAAAAAAAAAAATTTTAATTATTTTTAACTGCATCACTTTGACCTTTAAACTTTTTCAAGCAAAACATATCAATAGTTCTTGAACACAAAAATTACAATTGATCATTATTTGGAAAACTGAAATGTTTGTGACTTGGTCTCTAAAAAGATCATGTGATCAAAAATGATCAATTTACAATAAAAGTTTCTCAAAAAAGTTAACCATTACCATTGTTAGCCTCAATAGAATTACAAAAGTTAATCAAAAGTTGTTTTTTTTTACAAACTTTTGTCAAAAAATTTTTTTTTCATGATTTTATAACTTTCATTGTTTTTTAGTAATTTTACTCATTTATCATAAGAATTTATAAGACATGAAATTTCATTTTTAAATTTTATAAATAAGCCATAAATTTATATATATAACCTATGTTTATCTAAACATGCTATGCTCGCTAACCTAATAACAAGAGTGTCAAAACTTATTTCAGGAATTTGTGTGACAGAAATCAGTCATTTACTTGATTTTATATAAAATATTTCTGATAAAAAGTTTTAGTTGAAGATAAAATTTGTTTAGTTAAATAGTAAGGTTCGCATTTTATTTAAAAATATACTTAAAAATCGTTAAACGCATATTTTTTATTGAGTTTTTTCAATTAATACATTTTAAATTTTTTAACAATAAGAAAACATTTGACAATATATTTCAGTTTTATTGGTGCAAAACTCACACACATGTATATTTACACACACACATATAAAGACTTGGTCAGGAAGCAGGTGCAATCGCACTTTGTTCCTGACCACGCATATATAATTGCAACAACTTAGTCACAGCTATTTAGAAGTTTTAACAAGCTTAAAAAAATAAATTTTGCAACATTATTCTTTTGTAATCAAATGTTTTTATATACCAAAATGTTTTTATATACCAAAATGTTTTTTCAAAAATCAACAATTTACTTTTATTGATTGTTTGTAAAAAGAAAATTTTTAATTTTTTTTTAAATGATATAAATTTGAGTAAATTGTATTAAAAATTATATAAAGCTTAGTAAATTATATAAAAATAGATTAACTTTTTATTATTTAAATGTAAATTTGTTAAAACATACAAATTGTATGATTGTTTTTAATGAAATTTAAGAAATAGTTATCATTAAAGTTAATAAAACTAATAATCAAATAAACATTCATAAACTTACAGATGACCAAACACAAACATACATATATACAAAGCAAATTACGAGTGGATGAACACTGCACCACATGGTTGAACAAAATACAAACATACAAATAAAATATATTTGTAAAAACCTACTTTATAAACATCATCAGCGGTATTGTGAAGCAGTTCTGCTTCTTCCACATGAATTCTTTTTACTTTTTTAGTTTAATCATAAATGTTTGCTTTCAAATAATTTGATGCATTAAAGACTTTTAGTTTTCTTTTTAGTTTTGTATTTTATATTAATTTATAATATTTTATAGTATAATAAACTAACAAGCTTTAAAATATAAAATAATTAAATGTATACTGTTTAGACACTGACCATTATAGACCGCTGATTCATGGGTCAGCCACATTGCCAAATTTTTTTAAACATTTTAAAAACACTGCTAAAAGAAAAGATCATAATGTTTATATAGTAACTCAGCAATTTAGTTATTTCGTTTGTACATACTTAAAAAGAATTGTTTTAAATATTTCAAACTACACAAAGCATGAAATGGTTTTAAAAAAAGATTTTTTTGTTTGTTATATAATTCAACTAGCGTTAGATTTATTAGAATCTTGTTGAAATAAAACATAAATACTTAAATAAAGAATTATACTATACTCTTTGATAAATTGAAGAATGTTTGTTTTTCATTAAACAATCATTAATAGTAAATTGTAAATAGCTCTATAAAAGAGTGTCTCTTATTTTATAAAAAAATTATAAAAAGAGAAGTTTAAAATTAATAATTCTAAATGTAATTTATATTGTTTTAATTGAGTTTATTTTTTGTTTTTTTAAGAATTTCTTATTTTAGTAAGTTTTTTTGTAATTGTCTCCTGTCAGTCAAGTAATTTTTTTTTTTTTTTTGTTTGCCGATTTTTTAAATGTTCTCAAAGCATCTAAAAAACCATAGCCAAGTTGTCCAAACTAAATTTTATATGTATTTTATATGTTAGATATGGAGTGCAACTGCACCCGCTACCTGACCAAGCCTGCATATATATACATGCATATGTACATTTATGTATTATTATTCTATTGTATTTAGATTTTAGTGTTTTTTTAGCACTGTCCTAATAATTTTTTTTTTAATTTAAAGTTTAAAAATACTGATTTAAATCTAAAGAGTTATTTTTAGAAAATGAAAAAAAATTTATTTTGTTGTAATAAAAGTTCTTTCTAGATAATACCTGTTTTAATACCTGCCCTAACTCTCTCTACTAATGTATGTACTGAAGCCCCCAAAGCTCATTAATTCAGTATAACATCATCAATAACAGTTTATGCAAGGCTAAGTATGCTAAGATATTTGTGTGGGTGTGTTTGTTTAATATATATATATATATATATATATTATATATATATATATATATATATATATATATATATATATATATATATATATATATATTAGGGTGGGTCAAAATTTTTTTTTTTTTTGTTACAGGCTCTAAACATTGCTAATAGTTATTAATATTTATACTATCAAATATGAGAATGATTGTGATAGGTTTAAAGGGCGCAACTTTATTGGGAAAATTACCGGTACCCTAATATTTTGGAGAAAAAAAGTTTTTCAAAAGTATATCAACCCGGTACTCAAAAGAAGCGAAATTTTATAAAATATTCGAAAATAATAATTGTTTTATAAAAATCATATAGTTGAAAAAAATTGTTATTAAAAAGCATGTAAAAATGCACCTTTTTCACTTTTAGTTAAAAAACTATAGTTATTATGCAATAAAATCTAAAATAATAATTTTTATATGAAAAAATTATTTTTGAAGTTTTTATAAAATTTCGCTTTATTTGAGTACCTACATCACATAATTTTGAAATTTTTTTTTTTTTGAATAATAATAGGGCCTGCTAATTTTTGTAATTATAGTTGCTGGTGGAAGACATTGTTCAATCCATAAAAGTAAATACTTTCCTAAATTAGTACATAAAAAAACAACTTTCTAGCAATGTTTAGAGCCTGTAACAAAAAAAATATATATATATATATATATATATATATATATATATATATATATACACATATATATGTATATATAAATGTGTATATATATATATATATATTATTTCTTATAGAATATGGAATCAATGAATGTTTATTGCTTTGGACACTTGCTCTATGAAATGACATTTGGTGTTTGGTTACAGAGTGCTACAGTAGTGAATATACCTGAAAATTGTCCCTTACCTATAAGTATGTCAAAAAGTTATATATTTTTGTTTTTTGTCAAGAAAACAAATATAATTGATAGTTTATTATTTTTTTATTAGAATTTTTTTTTTTTTTTTTGTTAAATTTAACTGTTATACTTAAAGTATTGTTGAACAAAACTTTTAATGTTTCAGTAATATCTTTTGTATTGCAGTAAGATGCATTGCAATAAAATATATGAATATGTTTGAACAAAAGTTTATAACAAAAGCAAATAGAAAAGTTAAAAATAAAGTAAATTTTGTATATAGTACATAAAATATGTAATAAATATATTATTTATTAAAAGTTAAAAATGTCGAAATGTAACAATATTTAAACAGAAAAACTAAAATGTTAATAATTTAAAATAAACAAAACATAAATGCAGCCCCAGAGGTTTTGTGGGAAATCTTGCATGCATTTTTTTAATCAATTTTAGATGTTCCTTAAAATACCTTACTAAATTTCTAAAGTAATTGATTTTCAAATTGTTTTATGGTTTAGATATAATTATGGTTTCATAAATTAAATTCTTACTTTAGTTTTTTTCATGTTGTCATTTATTTAATTTAGTTAAACATTGAGTCCCATAGTATGGGTATTTTAAATAATCCAATTTAGTTAAATATGAGGCCCATAATGAGTGTACATAATATGGGTATTTCACTTAATCTGATAATATGAATACGCTAATTTAATATTAGTCGAGTTACGTCATTTTCTAGGCTTTTCTATTTTAAAGTAGTTTCTAGGCTTTTCTATACGCGTTTTTTTTTTTTAATTTTATTTACTAACAACGCGTATTACAGGTTGTTTACTGCTAATCTAAATTATTTAACATTGAGCCCCATATATAGGTATTTCACATAATCTAATTTACCTATATTGTTCTTATTTCAAATTAATTTTCAATACAAGATTTAGTGCAAATATGGCAATACCTAAAATACTGCAAACCCTCAGTACAGAAGAGAGACTTAAAATGAGATTGTATAGGTTTGTTGGAGAGTTTGTTTTCTTGTGGCAAGAATGTTGAATATGAGAAATGAGTTAAGCAATGACATGGCTTCAGTATTGTTTAATGATATATTAAATTCTTCTCTGAAATGACACGTTGAGTTTTGTCATTAAATTTTCAAAAAAAATATTTTGAAAATTTTTTTGTCTTATCCTTCGGAAAGGTAGAAAAATCAGATTTATGAATGAAAGATGAAACTTTAAACTTGCTTTTAACTGATTGTTGAAGATTTTTTTGAAGTCTCAACTTTTGAGATACAAAACGTGATTTAGTTATCTGAAATTAATGAACCTTCTTTGTTAATAGTACCCTTTAATAATAAAATGGTAATTAATAATACCATTTATAATATCTTTTATATAATATTTTTGTAATCATAAAAGTATGTTTGTTTTCAAGTGTATTGTTCTTATGAAAAAATCCTACTATGTGCGGCTGAACTCATGAAACTTTGTAAATTTTCTTTGAAGAGATGAAAAGCTTTTTTTGGCATTCAAGTATTTTCAAGCCTGAAAAAATTTGCTTGCCAAAAAATTTTTTGTGTAGTAATGCTTTGTCACCATATCACCAGAATTGACATTTACTATATGGGAACAAAGCTGTTTCAGTTTATTAACTGGTTGAGAGCATTAAAAATCAACAATCACACTATACTTGCAATTAACACTATTTAATATTTGATCATTTGAACTAGAAATTGCACTTTTTTTACTTGCTAAATTTCTTTAATGGATTTGTTATATATATTTATTAACATTGAAAAAGTTTTACAGTAACAAATGATAAGTTTAATTTTTTATGATAATTCTTCCACATTCATTAAGATTTAAAGTTTTGTATCTGAGATGGATAAATAGAATGCTGAGTTTCTGTGGTAACAGAACAACAAAATGCACCTGACTGGAAATGATTGTGTGTTTAGGATTACTGATTTAACTTTGAAAAGTCAAGCAAATATTTTATTATCATTAATCTTTGATCAAACTCATTTTTTAATTTTATATTTCTTTATTATTTTGTTTATGTTTGTTATTAAACTTTTTATTACTTTTCTCTTTCTTATGTCTTTAAACTATTTCTTTTTTTACTTAAAACCTTGGACTTTGTTACCAATAACTATTTAGTCACCAGGCTTTTGAGGTATGTTTTTAACAATCTCTCACCCAAACTTAATTTTTCTCTATGGTTTCTTCTCTCTATAGTTTCTTATCTTTGATCCTAGAGTTTTCCTTTCATTTTCTGAATAATCTCTGTTCTTTTTCTGAATAACCTCTGTTCTTTGCTGAGAGGTTGAAAACTAAAATTTTTATTGAAACAGTTATTCAGTTAAACACCTTAATGTTTTTCCAGTTTAGTAATATATAATATATTACTAACAACCAAAATAATGTTTTTCTGTTTACAAAATATAAGATATTCTTAGCATCAAAAATATAACAAGATATTCATAACACAAAAATTGTTTGTATTTATCTCCTTACAATATTTATTTGGGATTTTTTTTTTTTTTTTACATTCATTCAAATAATCAATAGTCACTACTTTTGAGGAGTTTTTTTTTTGTAAAAAGATGTTGTTAAAGCCCTCTCTCAACTTTATAACTTTAAAATACAAAATCTGCATGCAGCATTAACAGAAATGAAGTTTTAAACTTTACAATTGCCTGAGTTTTTAGTCAATTTAACCTTATAATCAAAATATTGATTAGCAAATCACTAAACACCATGTTTTGTGGTTTGCTAATCAATAGCTTTTATTTCTGTTATCACTTTAAATTTAACTATGTTAGTGAGCTATATATTTTAAAAAGTAAGGTTCCAGCAACTTTTTATAAACTTCAAATTTTTGAAATGTTTGCATACTTTTTTTCAATCTTCCTAAAAGGTAAGTTTAATATATAACAACAGCTTAATGTTTTTTTTTGTTTTTTTTTTCTAGAAAATATTTTACTTTCAATATTAAATACAAAATCAACAAAATCTGTTCTACCATCCATTGATGATCTTATAGCTCAACCGTAAGTTTTTCTACCAGCTCTTAATGTGTATGTAACAATAAAAATTAGGCTTTTTATAATCCTATCTATAAGTATCTATTTACAACAAGCATAATTTATAACTATTTATTTATAGTTTTTTAATTTTTTTATAATTTTTTTTACTTATTCAATTAGTTTAATTTTACTTGTAGTTTCTTCTAAAAATATTACAAATATTTAGATTTACAACTAAGTAATTAGTAATTTAAAATCTTTATTGCCATCATCATTAGCATTATTGTTGTCATCATCATCATCATCATCATCATCATCATCATCATCATCATCATCATCATCATCATCATCATCATCATCATCATCATCATCATCATCATTAACATTGCCATTATCAGATGTTTTTTTAGATGTTTATGTGCAAATATCTTTTATTCATTTTTTTTTAACTAATTATTTTGCCAGTTTTCTATTTTTTATGTCTGTTTTTTTTATAAAATCATTACAAACTAAAAAAAAATCTTTTTGCACTCAAACACACACACACGCACACACACGTAAAGAACATTTATTTCCATAAATAAAGGTATTGAAACCAAAGTGAATTATAGTGAATTTTTTCTTTTAAATTAAATTTAACTTCCTAAGTTTCCAGAGAAGGCCACTACAGTTGAGGCTTTACACCACAGAAGTGGTTATATACTACAGAAGAGGCTGAACACAACAGAAGAGACAGTATACTGCAGAAGTTTTGTTTGATGCATTTGAGTTAAGAGAGGGTTATAACCACAATTAAGTAGCCTCCTTGTCTGTAGTGACCTTCTTGGTCTTGGGGAGGTAAATTAACATTAAAAGTTTAACATTAACAGTAAACATTAAAATTTAGAAACCCACATGATTCGCATGATCACCGTGATCACATGATCATTCATTGTCATTGTTGTCAAAATGTAGTTAACTTTATATATAATTTTTTATATGGTTTAATAACTTTATGGCTAATCTACTATAATTTTTTTTTTTTGGGTCTGTTCTATACATTACAGGTTTCACAGCAAAATAAAATGCACAGAAAACAATTTTTTTTTAATAAAACAATGAGATTATATATATTATATAAATAAGTTAAAACATACATGTATTATAATTCTCATAGAGCTGTAGGCAGAAACTGCTTTTTTAAAGTTCAATCTGTGGTTTCTGTTAGTCTTTGTGACGACATAGCATATGTTGTTGTTAAACTATTATGTAAAGCCTCAGATGTTAGCTCTGAAAATTTAAAGAGGTTTCTGACTTCTATTAAAAAATCTACAAAGTGGTTTTTAATAATATGGAACTTCCAACCTAGTGATAATGTTTTTTCAAACACATCTTTACAATAGTATTCTAAATTAATCAACAAATTCAATAAACTGCAAGATTCACTGTATGTAGATTTTAGCAGCATGCTAAATAACTTTTTGCAACTGAAACATTTTTAGTATATAATTAGAATGTATATATAATGCAGGAATATAACTGAATCGGTGTTACCAGCATTATTTGATACAATAATTTGAGAACTTTACCACAGTTGGGTCCATCAAATCTGCCAACATTATACTCATGCCACATTACTGTATTTTTGTTGAAAAAGGATTTCAGGCCCTCATTGACAATAAGAATGTCAACAATTTTTGTTACAACATCCTCATACATGTGAAGTTCCGGAGATCGGAGGTGGGATGGTATCAAGAATAAATTTCTGGGAACTTCCTCAAGCAAACAGGGGTTATTAACATTAAATAATTTCATAGTCTTATAAGGATATCCTGCATCTTGGTACCAATAGTAATCTTGGTACCAATAGTAATCTTGGTAAATACTTAAGTAGGCAAAAGTTCTTAAGTAACCAAATGAGCTAGTTGTACCAGTACAGTTACAAACAGCATGTTTTCCACCATTTTGATTTTCGATTCTATATCTATAATAAGTTGTTTTGTTATTCTGAGATTTAATGTTTTGACTTGTAAAAAATTAAAAAAATTAGGCAAAATCTCTTTTCTTTTAGATTCTTTAATCAAGTGGTTATTGAACCATGCAAATCATCTTTTAAAGTAAGTATAATATTTATTTAAAATATTTAAAGTATTTATTTAGGATTTATTTAGAAATAAAAAAAATTGCTAAATAATAAAACATTAGAATAAGTTTTATACTATAGTGTAAATATTATAGTAAACACATGATTTGCATAATTTTTTTTTTTACATTATTACATTATTTTTATGTCATATGACATTTTTATAATAATATCGAAAGTCTAATGTGTTATTTATTACATAAATAATACATTAGATTTTATATATTATTATTTATATTTTATTCATGTATAATTTATTATATTTTTATATAATAAAAAGTAAATTACATTTTGAATATAAATTTTTTTAAATATATTATTGTAAACTCATGTTTAGTATTCTTTTTGATATTTTTATGATAAACTAACCCCCCCCCCCCACCTATTATTTATGATAAACATTGTGACATTAACTGAAGCGTTATATAAGTTGGTAAAGCAGATTAAAACTTTCACAAAATTTAAAATAATATTCAATAAATATTTTTAAAAAAGGCTTAAACTGGTAGTTATATAAACTTTTCAAATATTGAAGTTAAAAATAATTTATCAAAGTTGATAAAATTCAATGCATTAAAAGGATCCCACACTCCCAACACATGCTGTGTTCATGTTAAAGATAATGTTAAAAAAAAAAGTTTATACCAAGTTTTTTTGTTTAAAAATAAATAATGAATGCATACCGAGAAAAACTAATGTTGTTGTTTTAGCCAAAGCTCGCCTTCTCCATTTTTTTAATAACTCAGAGTCTTCAAATTATACGTCACAATCTACAGACTTTGGGCGATTCCTTTGAAGAGTGTTTAATTCATACAAGTTTTAGTATTTGACGTCACAGTAGACTTTTAACAAATAAAAAGTGTAATTACACAAAGCTGCGTTTTTCTACTTTTATTCAAAAAGTACGATTATTCTTAAATAATCGTACTTTTGATCTGACTTTTAATGATCTGACTTTTTTAATGCCGTCAAAATATTTTCAAATTAATAAAAAGTGCTTAAAAAAAAAAAAATTTCATAAAAAAAAAACTATTTTTTTACTATTAAAATTATCTGTGGAAACGACAATTAAATATCTTCTTTTAATTGAATATTAAAAAACAAATAGTCTATTTGTTTAAAGAAAGATTTACTTCTCCTAACAAAAAATTGCTGTTAGATTAAATAAAGAATTCTTAATCAAAAATCCAAGTTATCATGTAAAAAATTAATTTAAAAAGGTGATTTCAAAGCTTAAAAATTATCTATAAAAAAAATACTACTTTTATTCAAAAAGTAGTATTTTTTTAACATACAGCAAAACATTTATTTGTATTATTTTTCCAAACATCGCAAAAAAATGTTTGTAAAAAGGAAAAACAATGAATTATTTTTATTTTATAGGAGCAACTTATTTTTTACAGATATCTTAATAATTTTTAGATTTATATATTTTTCTTATATTTCTGTTTTTAAATTAAAACAAATATTAAAACTTTACTTACCAATCTTATGATTTTCATACGAGTATTTTACATTATATAGAACGTTTCATATACGGTCTCTTGTTTTTGTGCAAGAGAGCGCAGTATTATATATTCTGATTCTTACTTATTTTTATTTAAACAATGGGAATTATTTTCTAACTTCTCTGGTTATTTTTACGCTATGAAAATTTTTTGTTTTCCTGTCGAAAAAAGTATTTATTAACAATTACTTTCATAAACTAACAGTATTAATTAGAGATATTTGATGAATTGTTAACTTTTTTTATGAAAAGTATTATATTTAAACACATACAGGGGGAGATCTGTTGAGCAAAAGGAACAAGTTGGTTTCAAATTGTAGGCATGAAAATAAATCCCTTCTTTCGTTTTATGATACTGGCAATTAGCTGATTTATATACAATTTACTTTGATGTTTTCTTGTTTTGTCTCTATAGAGACATATTTTGTAATTTTTTTAACGGTTTTTTGTTTGTTTTTGATATAGTACATGGCTAATGAACGCAGTATAGGCATGAAACATATTGTTATATATATATATATATATATATATATATATATATATATATATATATATATATATATATATATATATATATATATATATATATATATATATATATATATATATATGTCTCGGCTCTGGCTCCAGCTTGGCTATCATACTTTATAAACAAAAATCGCAAATTTTGGGATATTTTTTTGATCACCTTTGCCTACTTAAATTCAAACCAATTACAATAATTAATTTTTAACCAACTTCTATGTTTACTGAAATGACATGGTTAATGTATTATCACTACTCTACTACTGCATACTACATTTGAAAAGAAAAATGTTTTGGGTAAATATTCATCTATTTCTATATAATATTAGGGTTTTTAGCTCTAATTCTACCCAGTGAGCACAGTACCTAAAAAAGACATCTTTTAAATGTTCCATTTCAGTATTGTATACAAACTTTATTTTTTGAACTTTTCATTTTTTTATTAACAACAGAAAATGAAGTTGAACACCTACGTTAATAAAATCATTTTTTTGAGCTATATATATATATATATATATATATATATATATATATATATATATATATATATATATATATATATATATATATATATATATATATATATATATATATATATATACATATATATATATATATATATATATAGTCTTGCATGTCTCTTGCGTAGCATCAAAAAATATTTCCCATAAACTGTAGTTTTAAAGAGCGCGTTAATAAACCAGACCAGAAAAAGTTTTAAATATTAAATTTTTTTTTTTAATTGATAGACTGCCTGGCCAAACCAAACCCTCAGTCGATGTAGCAGCACTCTCTTGCGAGTCAGGCTATTTGTCAGTCGTTGTAGCAGCACTCCCTTGCGAGTCAGGCTATTTGTCAGTCGATGTAGCAGCATTCCCTTGCGAGTCAGGCTATTTGTCAGTCGATGTAGCAGCACTCTGTTGCGAGTCAGGCTATTTGTCAGTCGATGTAGCAGCACTCCGTTGCGAGTCAGGCTATTTGTCAGTCGATGTAGCAGCACTCCGTTGCGAGTCAGGCTATAAGATAGTCGATGTAGCAACATTTACGCATGTTTAAAAAATGTTTTTTATTAAATCAATAACAAAAACACCACTAATTAAAAAAAACTTTCTAGTCGTTATAATTGCGGTTTTTTAAAAAATTTTTAAAAAACAATTAAATTTAATGTACTTCCGCATAAATTAATTGCTTTGACATTTCGATGACAATCAAAAACAGCTTAAGAGACGAGGTAATTAAAATTGTAGTCGTAAGAGACTTTTTTTACATTAAAATGCTCTTAAAGCGACACTATATGAGTATATATATATATATATATATATATATATATATATATATATATATATATATATATATATATATATATATATATATATACTCTTGCATGTCTCTTGCATTGCATCAAAAAAAGTTTCCCATAAACTGTAGTTTTAAAGAGCGCGTTAATAAACCAGACCAGAAAATGTTTTAGAAATTAAATTTTTTTTTTTAATTGATAGACTGCCTGGCCAAACCAAACCCTCAGTCGATGTAGCAGCACTCTCTTGCGAGTCAGGCTATTTGTCAGTCATTGTAGCAGCACTCCCTTGCGAGTCAGCCTATTTGTCAGTCGATGTAGCAGCATTCCCTTGCGAGTCAGGCTATTTGTCAGTCGATGTAGCAGCACTCCATTGCGAGTCAGGCTACTTGTCAGTCGATGTAGCAGCACTCCGTTGCGAGTCAGGCTATTTGTCAGTCGATGTAGCAGCACTCTGTTGCGAGTCAGGCTATAAAATAGTCGATGTAGCAACATTTACGCATGTTTTAAAAATGTTTTTTGTTAAATCAATAACAAAAACACCACTAATTAAAAAAAAATTTCTAGTCGTTATAATTGCGGTTTTTTAAAAATTTTTTAAAAAACAATTAAATTTAATGTACTTCCGCATAAATTAATTGCTTTGACATTTTGATGACAATCAAAAACAGCTTAAGAGACGAGGTAATTAAAATTGTAGTCGAAAGAGACTTTTTTTACATTAAACGACTCTTTCGACTACACTATAAGGATATATATATATATATATATATATATATATATATATATATATATATATATATATATATATATGTATAAAAGTATTAGCTTTTAAAAAAACTTTTAAAATAATATATATATATATATATATATATATATATATATATATATATATATATATATATATATATAAATATATATAAATATATATATATATAAATATATATAAGTATTAACTTTAAAAAAAAACTTTAAAATAATATATATATATTATTTTAAAGGTTTTTTATTTTATATATATATATATATATATATATAAATATATATATATATATATATATATATATATATATATATATATATATATATATATATATATATATATATATATATAAAAGTATTAACTTTTAAAAAAACCTTTTTAAATAATATATATATATATATAAAAGTATTAACTTAAAAAAAACCTTTAAAATAATATATATATATATTATTTTAAAGGTTTTTTATCTTAGCAGCACTCCACTGTGAGTCAGGCTATTTGTCAGTCGATGTATGTACTGAAGCCCCCAGCAGCAGGCTATTTCAGTATGACATCAGATTGCTTACCTTAGTAAGCAATACTATTTGTATATATATTTATATATATAAATGCTAAAAAAATATAAAAGATTTAACTTTCCTTGTTAAATTAATATTTACATAAGGTGGAATAAAAATATACATTGTTAAAATACATTTAGTGATTAGGGATTACATTTCTGTTTTTTGCTTACTTTACAAAAAACCTCTCTTTGCTAGCTAAGACTTTATAACCTATCTTCATACATGATGGTTGAAATTTGAAAGACTTAAATGTCTATTCTATCTGATTCCTATGTCATCCTGGTGATTATTTTTAAAAAAACATTGTTTTTAAAGGATTTATATTTTTAACTTTTTATTTTCAAAGTTATTGTTTTATTTAAAAAAATGGAGAAGGCAAGCTTTGGCTAAAACAACAACATAAGTTTATCTCGGTATGCATTCATTATTTGTTTTTAATCAAAAAAATTTGGTTCAAATCTTTTTTTTTAACATTATCTTTAATATGAACACAACATATCTTGGTTTATGTTTAATCACTCTTGTATCAATCTTTTACTTCTTTAATTATTTAAACATTTTAAAATTTTTTCTAGGTAAGTAAATTTAAAGATTCTTTAGTTCAAGTTCAAAACAGCATTGAAACAAGGCTACGAGATGATCAAAGAAAGGTTTGTAAAAGTATATTAAAATTTGGTTTCTTATATCAAAAATATAAAATGATAATTGAGTGCTTATGTCAATGATTAAAAAGTGGTTCTTCAAAAATAAAAATTTACTATTTAATTTTGTTTCTAGCTACGTCAATTCAATCGTTTGACAAAAGCAAGATCAAATCTACTTTCTGAAGAAGAAAAAAAGAAAAGAAAGAAATCGTCGAATAAAGTATTTTGTTTGTATTTTACTAATTAAGTGCAGTAAATTTATATTGTATAGCAATGAAATGTGTATTAAATGTAGACCAAAATCAAATTTGCAGACCAGAATTCAATTTGCTGGGCTGAAAACTTTAACATTCAATAAAAATGTTTTAAACATTTAACATCTTTATTTAGAAAACCTCAGTGACGACATCTTCAACTGTAAATGGAGAGTCAATTGGTAAACAGACTACTGAAACCACAGGAACAGTTGGTAATGTGAACACTGGAACTATAAATGGAAGCGTTCCAAGAGTCCAGCAAAATCCTACCATCAACTCAGGTTTTTAAAAATAATTTTTCTCAAAGTTGAGATTTAAGGAATATTAAACAACATAAAATATCAAACAACTTGCTTTGACCTATTAATGATCAAAAACAACAGACTTTGCATAAATTAGCATAAATTAGCATAAAGTTGGCATTCGAGCCAACTTTATGCTAATTTTTAATTGCTGAGATTTGTCATTGTTTTATAATTAGTTTAATGTTTTATAAATATTGAATGATCAATTGTTGTTTTTTAGCTCATTTTGTTTGTTATAAGGTTTTGCATTATTATGTGAAATTTTTTATGTTTTACGTGACTTTTGATTGTTGCTTTTCAATTGCAAAAAAAAAGGTCCTAAAATTTATTTTATTTTTTGCAATTTTCAGTTAATGTTGATTCTGATAGTATGAGTTTTTGACAAAAAAGTTGAATGTTTCTATAATAGTATAAAAAAATGGTGTTTGGAATTCAAGTTAATATAAAGAATTGTTGGGAATCTCAATCATTATCTCTAAGTATTTGTTATTATTATAACAGATCACTTTAATGTAAAGTCTTTTTAAATAATTCGTTCAATAAATGTTGAACTGCGTTAAACACAATTTTTAAACGCATTTCGTTCAAGTTTAGAGTGGGTTGTATCATATTGACTATTTAGAGATGTTATATGTAGGCAGGCTTTGGCAGGAGTAAATGAGTGAACAAGCTATAAATAGCCAGTCTACCTACTATCTTTGCAGGCTACGCAGGGTGTCTGCCTAGATAGTCTTGCACAGGCTTTTTTGAAAAATTAAAATTATATTTTGACAAAAAAAAATTTTATTCTGAAATTTTATATTGTTGATTCTTCATGCCAGGTATAGTAAAAATTTTAATTGTGATAAACGTTTTTTTAGCGATAAAAAGACAGAAAAACAACTTGTAAAAGATTTATTTAAAAAAACCCTGTTTTTTTTAAATAAATTTTTTTTTCTTTAATTTTACAAAATAATTTAGTAAATAGTTGTCTTATAAAAACAAATGATCTTAATTATATTATAAAAGTTCATTTCTCTTCTTCTTTGTGAATAATAATGTCATCATTTAAAAAAATCATTTAAAAAGACTTATAATCAAACAGGACAGCCACGCCTCCTAAAAAATCCTAAAATATCCTAATATTTGAAAAACATCCTAAAAAGACCTAATTTTTCCTAATATATAGGTGATTTTCTCAAATACTCCTAAATCCTCCTAATTTATTTGTCCTGAGTATAATGCATAAGCTATTATCAGCCAATCAACAAGAAAGTTAATGAAATGGTTCAGACTTGGAGTTAGCACCAACAGAAAATTAGTCACTCAAATGTATATTTAATATTTTTGTAATATTTTATTAATTTAGAAAATTTCATTCTAATAAAATTTAAGCTTTATTTTCTTATTTCTGCCTGAGTTTTCAACATCAAAATTATTTTTATTAAAACTTTATTTTAATTAAGTTGACCTTAAATAATTTTGTATTTTCAGAATAGAAAACGTCAGTCAAATATAAAGCTAAATTTTAAAAGTGGTATGTTTGAAAGTTATATCTGTTGCAGGTCTGGTTACAAAGGCATTGGAAAAACATGCCAATTGTAACAAACATAAACAAGGTATGCCTGTCTGTGATAAATATGCATTAAAAAATTTTTGTAGAACCACCAGCTAGCCCAAAAGTGGCGCTGTGTCCACAGCAAACTTCTATTGTATTTATTGCTGAGTCGCAGTTAGCAAAGAAAGCAGAGTTAATGCGGGCAGTTGATGACAACATCAAGCTTTCAAAACATTCTTTTCGATCAAGTGCAAACAAATCTGAATTATTTACTGCAAAGTTTAGTGATAGTCAGATAGGTAAACAATTTTCTTGTGGGAAAACAAAGTGCACTTATCTTGTGTGCTTTGGAATTGCACCATATTTTAAGGAAATTTTGTGTGAGACATTTCAGAGTTTGATCAGTTTGTTTGCCAATTTGATGAATCTTACAACCAAGTTGTCAAGAAGAGTCAGATGGATTTGCATATTAGATATTCCTTGTTAGAAGATTCCTCGTTAGGACTCTCCATTAGAAGATTCCTCATTAGGACTCCTCATTAGAAGATTCCTCATTAGGACTCCTCGTTAGAAGATTCCTTGTTAGGACTCCTCATTAGAAGATGGTAAAAACAAGATATTTCAATTCTTCGGAATGCTGTCGATTTTATGATAAGTTTCTGTAAAAGTATGATGGGTTTAGAAGAAGATAAAATGCTCCAGGTTTCCATGGATGGTCCAAATGTTAACATGTCTTTCCTCTCTAATTTGAATGCTAAGAAAAGTGAATGTGATCTCAGTCAGTTAGAATCAATTGGATCATGCAGCTTTTACACAATGCACTGTTCATTCAATAATGGTACAAATGCTTCAGGATGGAAATTGAACAAATTACTGTCTTCATTGTATAAGATATTCCATGCGAGCCTTTCTCATCTTGTTGGTTTTGAAAATCTTACTCAAGCTCAGTCTTCAGACTATGCTCTACAGTTCTGTAGCCATCGATGGCTTGAAAATGAGAAAGAAGTAAAGAGAGCTATAGAAATTGAGATTATTGTAATTATTGACTTATAGAAAAATTTACCAAAAAGCAAGCAACCTGGTCAATGTAAGCCTGGGGAAAATACTAGTTATATACCTTTCTTCATGCTATATGTGTTAATCCCTATAAAGTTGCAATTTTTTAAGGAAACTGCAAAATTGTTAAATTCTTTTTTATTAGTTTTCCAAACTGACAATCCTACGACACGTTTTCTTGTCGAAACACTTGAGAATTTACTGAGGATATTTTTATCAAAATTTATCAAAAAATAAGTTTTTTCTGAAGCATCCACAACTTTTAAATTATTAAAAGTTGATATCAGTGATGTCAAAAATCAAGTGTTGGTTGCAAATATTGATCTTGGATTTGGAATAAAATGTGAGTTGCAGCAACTGAAATCTAGAAAAAAAGTTACTGATGCACAAATCTATAATTTTAAAACAGAAGTTTAACAGTTTTTAGTTACAATTTACTTACAAATTACTTTGCCAGATACTTATTATGTTTATCACTTTTGTACATGGTGGAATCTCATGAGATGTGTGAACTTTATTTTGAGTTGTTGCTGAAATTAGTTGCTTATAAAAAGGTATCACCTTCAGCTGCTGATCAAGCCAAATTGCAGTATTCACATTTTTTAACTACTGTTGTAAAAGTGAACAAGGAAAAATGTCTTGGGTTCAAAAAAGAAAGTGATAGATTAGATTCTTTTTTGGTTCAATATACAGATGCTTCAAGATTCAAGGACTTATTGAAAATTTACCAATTATTACTAATATTGTCTCATGACCAAGCACAAGTAGAGCGTGGATTTAGTATAAATCCACGCTCTACTTGTGGCCAAGCACAAGTAGAACGTGGATTATAAATCTCCAACTTCTGGATAATAATATGCTAACTGATACTCTAGTTGCCCAGAGAATTGTACATGACCTCATGTGCAGTGAAAATATAAAATTATCGCAATTGGCTATGACAATTAAACTTATGGGACATGTTAAGGATGCACAAAACCTATACTTTAGCAGTCAGAAAGAGAAGTCCCGGAATACTTCCTCTCAGATATGATGCAGATGAGTATGCATTGCAAGCGGAAAAGCAGAAATCATTAATAGAAGTAAAGTCAACAATTCTAAAATCTAATGCGCTAAAGAGAGTTGCCTCTGAAAAGCAGGACTTATTAAAAAAAATTATAGCAGCAAAAAAAAAAGTTTTTTAATTGTTTTGTTTTTCTGATTTGATTATTTCTTTTTATGACTGGGTAATATAAAACATAAAGTTTAGTTTGACTGTGTATTTTTATGATTTTTGATTATTTATTGTTTGTTAACTCAGTCGTAAATTTTTGATTATTTATTGTTTGTTAACTCAGTCATCTGTTAAGTGCAATGTTCAATTTTTTAAATTTCTAATGCAAGTACAAATTATTTTAAATAACAGTGTTTGGGCCCTAATTTTATCTTAATTATTTTAGCTTGGCATTCTTACAGTTTTTAATTAAAATGAAAATTTTTTAGTGACACTTTATTTTTGAAATCCTCCTAAAATCTCCTAAGATTTTTATCCTTTTTTTTTTTCAATTTTCCCGATAAATCTCCTTAAAAACATTTAAAAATCTCCTATATTATCTTAAATTATCCTAATTTTTTCAGACAAAAAAAGTGTGGCCACCTTGTTAAACTTCAAATATAGGAATATACAAAAATGAAATCGTCTTTATTATCTAACAGTTCTTATTGTATAAGTTTACAAGATATCAAAGAATACTGAAAACCCAGACTATTATGTTAAATTCTTTTGTAACACATGCATATTTTGTCTGCTTTATAGCATACTAATTATTTATCTTTTAACATAACACAGAATAATACGGAACAGTTATAGCTGTTTGAAATAACTTGTTTGATTTTTAATTTTTATTTTTACATCAGGTTATTAAAAAAAAAAAAATTTCATAATTTTTTTAAAATATCCTGAATTTAAAAGTTTCATTTTTTAACTAGTAAAACAAACAGTTTTACAAAATTACATCATTTGAGAAGTTTTTTAAAAATAACGAAATAAAAACATAAAAATATTTAACTTAATTTTTTCCAAAAATTTATATTTTGCACAAGCTTTATTTTGCCCGTGTAAACTGATTTGCACGGGTGTGGAGGTGAGCTCGGGCTATAGCCCACCATTCTTGCCAAAGCCTGTGTAGGTGTACCTATGGTGCTTTCAATTAACCACATTGGGTAGCCTTTTTCTAGTACATGTGCTTTAATTACCCTATCAAAGCATAGTGATACAGCATTACTTGGGTATTAATTTTTATATTCTTATTCGGTAAAATGGCCTATATTATTCAAAATTTTGATGGTTAAACTTTGTGAAATCAAATTCTTTAAAAACTTTTTTCTTTATAATATTAGGGACCCTTTAAATAGATAATGGAATTAAGCATTTGCAAAAAGCAAAGTTAAATCAACAATCTTTTTCTAAATATTCTTTTTTACATGCCGTTACATACAAAAATGTACACTTTTTAAAAAATGTGAATAATAAACAAAAGTGTTTTTCCACTTTAGATTATTTTTTTTATGACTACTCGGTGTAGTTATAAAAAACAATAAATATTGTAATAAATGTTTGAAAATTAAGCTTAGATTGGGCTTGAATTATTTACAAAAGATAACCTCAGCACAAAAAAAATTTATTTTTATTTATACAAAAGAGGGTTTAAGAAACCAAATATATATATATATATATATATATATATATATATATATATATATATATATATATATATATATATATATTAGCCTGCATAATATTATAACTCTAAATAAAGTTGTAAAGCCTGTGTAGTATTGAAACAAAAGTCTAAAATATGGAAACTAAATCCTAATCATTTTAACTTTGTGTTCCTAATCATTTTTCATCAAAATAATCATGTTTCAATTATAACAACACTATCAAACTGCAACACTTCTTGCTCATTGATTAATTGCCTTGTTCTTTCGCTGCATTCATTTAAGCTTATTCATGTTTTCATTTCTAATGATGTTTTACTGTTTCTGATTGTTTAAATATACATTTCTCTAAACAGTTGATAAAGAGATTGTACCATTTTTGATATTAATATTAGCAACATTAGAAAATTAGCATACCTATTCAAATATTGAAATGACTTCTATTGTATCTTGTAGTGCAAGCAGACATTGTTTCAATACCTTTTTCAGTAGTCTTAAGTAGTCCTAAAGTTGCTTAAGTAGTCCTAAAGTAGCTTTAAGAGAATCTTGTTCTTAGTTTGTCTAAAAGAAACAAAATTAAGCTCACATGACACAAGCATTCTAAATTATATTCGAAATTAAACATTCAGGTGCAATATCTATACTTTCTAAAATGGTATCAACTTCTTCTGTAACAGATACAACTATCTTTTCTTCTCTTTCTGATTTTCATATGATCTAATCTTGCAATCTCAGTAAAAACTTAAATAAGTGAAAAAAAACTGAAAGAAAAATAAAAACATATTTTACAAACAAAAAAATATTTAAATTTTTTTTTCAAGAAATTTTTCTCTTCTCTGACCCTCCAGAAAGATTAAATTTTCTTGATCTCCAAAATAAATTATCTTCTAAAATATTTATTTAAAGCTAGTTTAAAAAATAAAACTAGTTTAAAAGATGTTTAGAAAACTAAGTGTATTATATATATAATAAAATTTATTCTTTGTGGCTGGTGAGCCCCAACTTTTTCCAATGTACACCACAACAACAAAACAGACATTAGGCTATCCCGCTGGATGTGGTTACGACGATCAATAACCTAATGACTACGCTGACACTCATGCACACGTTCAGTCGGAAGCTCCACAATCCACATTGGATCAGCGCTCGTTGACTATGTGCTCGGATCTGAAATCTCACTTTCACTTTATAGCACATCATTCCACAACAGCACGGGGCAGTAGCTCTTTTGGCTAAGAGTGATGGCTTGTGGCCTATGGTGACTAATGTTTGCATTCAATCAATTGAAATCCATTCTGTAGGTCTTATATCTGGCTCTGATGTGCTAGCCCATAAGCGCAAGGAGTGAGTGTGTTTAGCTTTCTATTCACCCGATTTGAAAGTGAACGAAAACAAACAAAAACTATTGGAGTTAACACATTTTTTATCATACTTTCGTTTAACTACTTTCATACTAACCACAAAACTCTTAACTTAGTATCAATGCTTATGAGTGGTATTTACTTATTATATTTATAATACATATTTCAGCCATAAAAGAAACAGTAAGTTATTATTAATTACTATTTTGTGTTATTTCTACACATTATAATTGTTTATTTATATACGCGCATACGTACATGTGTACAAGTTTGTTTCTTCTAATGAAGGGTACCTTATATTTATATGTGCTTACATATCTGTTTATGGTCACACCACACGCATCCCTCACCACCCTCACGAGATCTCTAAGAATGTTGGAACTGTTTTCAAAAACTTAGTTATCGATTGGGTTTTTTGGCTTTTTTAGTGTAGTCCTATTATATTGCAATATTGACTAGCATGACGCAGAGTGCAGGCAGTCAGATCTATCACAAGGACACGCCCTTGACGAGTGGCGTTAGTGCAGGTCTCGGGCTCTCCGAAACGTCATTGGTGATCGTAATGCATTTCTGAGGAGGGGGATCACCATTTATCCACTACTTAATTCTTATTGGTTATTATGGCACCAACATTTTTTTACCTCTTACGCCCATGAGTTTTTGCGCTTTATTAGCTTTTTATTATGAATTTGTTACATTTACGACATTCCCAGGTCTATGTAACTGGACGGCTCCATCGTTCACTTTTTGCGATCATTGTGTTGCATAAGCAAAAAATATAATCTTTATTCACTTAATTGAAATTTTTAAAAGTAGAAATAAAAAAAAATTGGAACCTCAAACTATTTCCTATGATCTTGATCTTTAATAGACCATTAATGGATTGTTTTATTAAATAGCAGTTTTCTTTAGGAATAATTAATAGAATATTTTAAGAGTTAGCAGGTTTTACTTAGGTTTGAAGAATAACTATGTATAATTAATACATATGTATAATTAATAGATATTTTAACTGCTTTTTTGTTTACTATTTAGCTACTGGTTTAACCAATAGTGTAACTAATTCAACTCCTAATGGAATTGCTTCCAGACCTCAGCAGAACGTTGTCAATAGTTCAGGTTTTTATTTTATTTGAAGTTTGAATTTTAAATAGGGTGATGATGCATAAAATAAATATTATTACTTTCTTAAATCTAGAAAATAAATTTAATGCAAATAACTTATTGCTGGTGATAGTGTAATTTTAATTTAGAAAAAAAAAAGTGCAAAGCATCATTTTTTGTATCACATGTCAATAATAAACAAAAATGTTTTTATTAATTTTATTAGATTAATTATTATAATTATTTTATTTAGCTGTTTTTTATTTTTTATTTTTTACAAGTCATGCATTATAAATTTTGTTTCGGAATTTTAGCTTTAGTGTTTAGTAGTTGGTGTTTATAGTGTTTCTTTAATTTACTAAAAAAATTTTGTTTTAAAAAAATAAGCCCAAAAAAATATGATACAAAGATAAAAGTTAACATACGGTTAAAAATAAATGAGGTAGATCAGATGTAGCACTATATAATTGAATATAAATGGGGTAGATCACTTTTTAAGTCAAATAAGTCATATGTACTTTGACTTATTTGACTTTGTTATATTCAAGATTTTATATTATTTGCTTTTTATTACTTGGTTATGCAAACAAATGCACAATCACTATTATCTTCCATTATTTTAAAAAAAGTTTTTAAATATCAGGGTTGTTTGACATTTTTATTTCTTTGATAAGTTGAGCTGAGATTGAATGAGATTGTGTTCTTTTGAATAATAAAATCTGAATAGACTTCTGTTCACAGAAAGTATATTTTAAGTTTATAAACAAGTTTTTTAATAATCATTATCAATGCTATTTTTATACAATTAACAATGAATATTACATTAAAAATTGTTTGTTGAATAACATTACTTCTGACTCACTTCATTCAAAAGCGGATTCAAAGGTGGAAATCTATAATTGATAAACTCTGTTTTATTGTCTTTTTTTGATTCTAAAGATTAATAAAAATCATAGTATTATGGTAATCAAAAAATAGTATTACGGTAATGTGATGAGTGCGTCGTAAATGGTCGAAAATTGTGTGACCTAATTTATGGACAACCCCTAATTATGCAACGCTAATTGTATTTAAAAAATAGAAGTAGGAGATTATTTGTTCTTTTTTGTGGCAATTTTCATTAAACTTAAAAAGCTATTTTTATTTTTGGTGGAAAAAATTTTGTTTTGTCTATTATTTAAAGTTAGTGTTGTGTAATTTATGGACAATTAAATTTTGTTCAAAAAAAAACTTTATTATGGTAGTATTCAAATACTTTTAAAAATAAGTTGTTTTTTTTTTAATTTTTTTTTTTAATATTTTTGTTAGTATCTTCGATCTTATAAACTGATTGACATGCAGTAAGTTAAATATTATGAAGCCAACATCTTTTAGTGCACGAGGTCACATTTGGGTAAAAACAAAACGCATTACAAATAAAATAAAGGAATAGAAAGCATAGCATTAATCCTTTAACAGTCCACATAATATTATGCAAACTGAAAGTGGTTCGCATGTCCATGCTGTAATATTTTGCCTTTGAGCATCTTCTCATTTTTCCTTCTTTTTCATCAGTAATTATACGTCTAATTGTCACAAAATTTATTACTACATAGTTACAGAGCTTTTTTTTTAATAATTCACTTTTACATGTGTTCACTTTAAATATAGCACTTTAAATATAGCAGACAAAGAAGTTCTTTTAGTCCAAAAATCATTATTAAAAAAGCAAATATTTACTCATGAAGTGATAGAAAATTGTTTATTTGATGAATGATTCATGAAAAAATATATTTGATGAACAATTAATGAAATTGATAATAAAAGATTAATGCTCAGAGAAGGTTGTTACAAAAGAGAAGGTATGTGGTATGTTACAAAAGAGAAGGTATGTGGTATGTTACAAAAGAGAAGGTATGTGGTATGTTACAAAAGAGAAGGTGTGTGGTATGTTACAAAAGAGAAGGTATGTGGTATGTTACAAAAGAGAAGGTATGTGGTATGTTACAAAAGAGAAGGTGTGTGGTATGTTACAAAAGAGAAGGTGTGTGGTATGTTACAAAAGAGAAGGTATGTGGTATGTTACAAAAGAGAAGGTATGTGGTATGTTACAAAAGAGAAGGTGTGTGGTATGTTACAAAAGAGAAGGTATGTGGTATGTTACAAAAGAGAAGGTGTGTGGTATGTTACAAAAGAGAAGGTATGTGGTATGTTACAAAAGAGAAGGTATGTGGTATGTTACAAAAGAGAAGGTGTGTGGTATGTTACAAAAGAGAAGGTGTGTGGTATGTTACAAAAGAGAAGGTATGTGGTATGTTACAAAAGAGAAGGTATGTGGTATGTTACAAAAGAGAAGGTGTGTGGTATGTTACAAAAGAGAAGGTGTGTGGTATGTTACAAAAGAGAAGGTATGTGGTATGTTACAAAAGAGAAGGTATGTGGTATGTTACAAAAGAGAAGGTATGTGGTATGTTACAAAAGAGAAGGTATGTGGTATGTTACAAAAGAGAAGGTATGTGGTATGTTACAAAAGAGAAGGTATGTGGTATGTTACAAAAGAGAAGGTGTGTGGTATGTTACAAAAGAGAAGGTATGTGGTATGTTACAAAAGAGAAGGTATGTGGTATGTTACAAAAGAGAAAGTGTGTGGTATGTTACAAAAGAGAAGGTGTGTGGTATGTTACAAAAGAGAAGGTATGTGGTATGTTACAAAAGAGAAGGTATGTGGTATGTTACAAAAGAGAAGGTATGTGGTATGTTACAAAAGAGAAGGTATGTGGTATGTTACAAAAGAGAAGGTGTGTGGTATGTTACAAAAGAGAAGGTGTGTGGTATGTTACAAAAGAGAAGGTATGTGGTATGTTACAAAAGAGAAGGTATGTGGTATGTTACAAAAGAGAAGGTATGTGGTATGTTACAAAAGAGAAGGTATGTGGTATGTTACAAAAGAGAAGGTATGTGGTATGTTACAAAAGAGAAGGTATGTGGTATGTTACAAAAGAGAAGGTGTGTGGTATGTTACAAAAGAGAAGGTGTGTGGTATGTTACAAAAGAGAAGGTGTGTGGTATGTTACAAAAGAGAAGGTATGTGGTATGTTACAAAAGAGAAGGTATGTGGTATGTTACAAAAGAGAAGGTGTGTGGTATGTTACAAAAGAGAAAGTATGTGGTATGTTACAAAAGAGAAGGTATGTGGTATGTTACAAAAGAGAAGGTGTGTGGTATGTTACAAAAGAGAAGGTGTGTGGTATGTTACAAAAGAGAAGGTATGTGGTATGTTACAAAAGAGAAGGTATGTGGTATGTTACAAAAGAGAAGGTATGTGGTATGTTACAAAAGAGAAGGTATGTGGTATGTTACAAAAGAGAAGGTGTGTGGTATGTTACAAAAGAGAAGGTGTGTGGTATGTTACAAAAGAGAAGGTGTGTGGTATGTTACAAAAGAGAAGGTATGTGGTATGTTACAAAAGAGAAGGTATGTGGTATGTTACAAAAGAGAAGGTGTGTGGTATGTTACAAAAGAGAAAGTATGTGGTATGTTACAAAAGAGAAGGTATGTGGTATGTTACAAAAGAGAAGGTGTGTGGTATGTTACAAAAGAGAGGTGTGTGGTATGTTACAAAAGAGAAGGTGTGTGGTATGTTACAAAAGAGAAGGTATGTGGTATGTTACAAAAGAGAAGGTATGTGGTATGTTACAAAAGAGAAGGTATGTGGTATGTTACAAAAGAGAAGGTATGTGGTATGTTACAAAAGAGAAGGTATGTGGTATGTTACAAAAGAGAAGGTGTGTGGTATGTTACAAAAGAGAAATATGTGGTATGTTACAAAAGAGAAGGTGTGTGGTATGTTACAAAAGAGAAGGTGTGTGGTATGTTACAAAAGAGAAGGTGTGTGGTATGTTACAAAAGAGAAGGTGTGTGGTATGTTACAAAAGAGAAGGTATGTGGTATGTTACAAAAGAGAAGGTATGTGGTATGTTACAAAAGAGAAGTTGTGTGGTATTTTACAAAAGAGAAGGTATGTGGTATGTTACAAAAGAAAAGGTGTGTGGTATGTTACAAAAGAGAAGGTGTGTGGTATGTTACAAAAGAGAAGGTATGTGGTATGTTACAAAAGAGAAGGTATGTGGTATGTTACAAAAGAGAAGTTGTGTGGTATTTTACAAAAGAGAAGGTATGTGGTATGTTAAAAAAGAGAAGGTGTGTGGTATGTTACAAAAGAGAAGGTGTGAGGTATGTTACAAACACAAAATTTGAAAAAATTCAAAATATGAATGTGTAGAATGTAGTAGGACTTGGTGCAGCTCCATGTTTAGCCAATTAATTATGAGTTTTAACATGTGTGGAGGATCAGGTAAAATTTGTATTGGATAATTTGATATAGGATGAGGAAACCAAGTCTTCATGTTTTCAATAAAAATATTGGATTGTAAAAAATTTGCCATACTAATATTTAAATTGGTTCCATTAAGTTTAAACAATATAATTTCATTAATAAATTAACCACTTTCATTAATAAATTGTAGGCAATGTTTAACATTATTAGCTTTTTTACAACCACCTAAACCATCAAATCAATTAAAAAATATGCAACAGTAAGTTTACTTATATAACTATATTGTTTTCCTAACATACTAATATGCTTAAGCAGAAAAAAAATTAATTGTTAAAGCAAAGCTTCTTAATTCTGATGGGTTACGTTTTTTAACTTTTTCTTGTAAATTCTGACAAAATAACTGTTTTGTAGACTCAGACATTTTAAATAAAAATGTCCGAGTCTACAAAAATTTTTTGGGTAAGTCCAAAAAAAACTCCACCTCCCTATTTTTTTAGGGAGGGGGAGGGGGACCGGATTTTGATCGGATTGAGTGTATTTTATAAAAAAATTTTAATAATTCTTTAAATTACTTATAACATTGAAAAAATGGTCACTAATTAATTGTTAAAGCAAAGCTTCTTAATTCTGATGGGTTACGTTTTTTAACTTTTTCTTGTAAATTCTGACAAAATAACTGTTTTGTAGACTCGGACATTTT